ACGTGTATATGAACAAACAGGCAGGCAAGCAAGCATTTCACACAGGGACCTTCTGGTAAATAGGCATGGGATGGGAGCACAGAGAGTAACTTATTCCCATAAACCTGAACCTATGCATTCAACATGCTGAAAGAAAAAGCTTAACAAGAATTGGCACTGGCTTCATTCTTCCTTCAGCACGTACAGCTGCTGTACACCAAGAAGTCAAGTGAACTGAGGCACCATGGCACTTTGGCCTTATTTTCTGTCTGACATTGGCTCTCAACATCAGCTAAAATGTTTCCTGATCCCCAGAAGCATTCAGCTGGAGATACCAGAGACAGAATTTATGTTGTTGTTGTTGTTGTTTTGTTTTATTTTGTTTTTTAGTGCAAAGCTTGGAATCTTCCACTGAATTGTAATCTTCCTTCCCAAGCAGGCTGATCAGCTGATTATGTAGCTTATACATAACTAACTAACATTCCAGCTTCCTTCCTCTTGTAAAGCTGCCATGCCATGTACTTATTTACTAAGAACCTTAGAAAATTAATGTGAAACATATAGGTATTAAAAGAAACAAGCATGGAATTGGAGACCACTGATTGCACTCTGAGAACTACCTTGTCCAACAAGTTTGTTTTATTTGAGGCTGGTTATTTTAAATTTGTTCCTAACCCTAACTTTTGCTACACTTAGCAAGATGACATAGATGTTACTTTTTTATCATATCGCCACTTTTGCCATTAGACCAGCCAGAACAGAGGCATTGATCACACAATACTAGATAAGTCTCCTTATAAGTCATTCTCACAGCATTAAGTGCCTGCTAAGTGTGTATAAATAAATCCAGACAGGAGGATACATCACAATATGTACAACTCTAATCCTAAGCATGCTTAATCAACATTAAGCTTGAGATCAGCATCTTCATGTTTTAAAAAGTAAAGAAAGTCATAAACATATTGGACTTGTAGAAACAGAAAATGTATAGCTTTAAGATGAGTTTCGGTTAATTCATCAGAAAGAAAAATGTTTACAATGTGCATTATTTAAACAACATCAAAATAAGTGCAGCAATAACCATACTTTTTTCTGATTAATAATTAGTTTGCTGTTGTGTTCTTGCACTTTATCCTTTATAGAAGTATCAAACTGAATAAGGCTGTGTGCAGTTGTTCTGTTTCAGAGGGCTACTAGTGGATTCCTTATACCCCTAGTTATCCCACTATCAGAAACCCCCAATATCACAAGTGTGCAACCGTTGTGTTTTGTTGTTGTTGTTGTTGAGACTCCTTTGCCTTTAGCAGCAGTAAGAAAGATTAAAGTTAGTATGACATTTCATAGCCTGGCAATGCACTCATATGGTGATCTTACCGGTTAGACACACAAGAATCTTGCACACACATGTCAGCCCTGTCTTCCACTATTTTGGACAGGGATGAGGTGAGAAACCCACGATGCTCCAAATATTGGTAGACTGCAACCCCCATAAAACCTGGCTAAAATGGCTTCTCAGAGCAGGCGTGCCAATGAAGGTATTTTATTTAAGAAGCCCTATAGTACAATTAATAAAACTTTCTGATATTTTTTGCCCAGTAACAGGCAACATCGATTCATAGATGTTCTGGAAAAATATGTTTCTTGATTTTAATTGGGGTTGGAGAGCAGGTAGGAAGTATGTGCTTTGAGGCTTTCACTATTAGCTGTTACTTCTTTCTATATGTCACCAGGTGCAGTGCATGTTGGTTAACTGATTTTAGCAATAGAGCTTAGCTTTGGGCATCCAGTAATGAGTCTACAATTTTCATAGACTTAAATCTAGTAGTAAGTTGCAGTTCGAATAAGCTAATTTAATCAGTGGGGATTGGGTGAGTTAACTCCTATGTAAGTTCCATATATTCAATGGGCCTGCTGTAGTTGTGACTTGCTCTGGTTTCTGACAGTTTTCAAAGAGTAGTGTTCTTTGTGCAGACTTTTTATGTTTTGGTGGTCTCCCTCTGGGGTGATTTCTCTGCACTAATTCTCCATACAGGAGATCTTTTGGAACCCGACCATCAGCGATTCTCACAACATGTCCAAGCCAATGTAGACAACTTACGTTTTAAGTTTAAGCTGGCTTCTACTGTAATATATGACAAATTCTTCCAATGCAGTACTTCCAAAACCATATGTTATTGGACAACAGCTCCCAGAAATCCTGGCCAGCAGCTAGTGGTGAAGGCTTCTGGGAGCTTTAGTTCAAGAACATTTGGGGACCCAAGGTTGGGAACCACAGTTCTAATGCATCTGTTAAGAGATGTTCTACCATCTGAAAACTGTCTGATTGGGCAGCAAGTGCAAGATTGTCAGCATAAATAAAACTTTTCATGCCTTAAGGAAACGCTTGGTATTTGAGACAAAATAGGTCTTTAAACAAAATAGGAGCCAGTACGCTGCCTTCGGGCAGGACCATTTTTTGAGTCTTCCATCAGCTGCAGTGTCTCTGAAAATTAATGAAAAATCTGCAATTTTGCAAAATAATTGTTATTACTTTATTTTATAACCTTTGATGAGATTATGGAATTGTTGCAGTACTACTTGATGATGAACACTGTCATAGGCAGCTGAAAGGTCTACAAAAGGTAACCCCATGATGTCCCTTTTTTCAAAGTCATCCTCAAAATGCTGCATTCAATGCTGTAGGGTTCTTCCCAGACCTAAAGCCAGTCTGTTGTGGGATGAGAAGTGGTTTCCTGCCTCCATTACACAATTAAGAACCATAATGAAATCGGACTGAATTTTTGGGGCTTGTGGATTTTTTACAAGGTTTCAAGGCAGCAGTCACTCACAACTTTCTTCAAATTTTCAGGAACTTGAGAGAGTCAAGAGAGTTATTAAAGAGTTAGAAAAAGTAAGGAGTGACTTTTTTTGTTACTGTGTCAAAATGTTCGATCTGTTCTACATGAATATCTTCCAGGCCTGCTGCCCTTCCATTTCTGCAGCTACAGATAGTTTTTTCCAATTTGCTTAAGCTGAATAGTCTTGTAAGGTTATGGGTCTCCAGTTGCTTGTTTCTTTCAACTTTAAGTTCTGATTTCCTTTGGCAATGTTCAGATCTGCCATTAATGACAAGCTGATTTATTTGCTAAAATGTTTGCATGAGTAAAACCCTAAGTTAGATGGTTGTTAAGCTGCTTTAATAATCTTGAGCCCTTTTGACTGTTTCTTGACATATTTATTTTGTCCCTGAATTTTAGTGAGTCAGCTCTCGTAGTTTCTGAGACCAAAGAAAATAATTGCTGCCCAGCCACAATGGCTTATTTGCTCAAAAGATTTTGTTCATGTTATGTATATATATATGTGTGTGTGTATATATATATATCCAAAGTCAAAATAAACTGTTCATGGGCCTCTGGCACTGGACAAAATGTTCAATATAATTCCATCTAATGTTGTATAGAATGTCTGCCAAATGGTTTTTTAAAAATTATATATCCTGTGGAGGGATATTGTTGATGGTTGGACGCCACTGTGAGTTGGCACATTATTGACTGGTGCTGCATATTTATAACTGAGGTACAGATTGACCTCATATACTATTGAGCTATAAACTCACTAGCAAATATCAGTTCTGGGTAATAACTACTTGCCAACTTCCGCTATGGAAAAAATAGCAAAATTTGCTATTATGAATAATAAATATCTAATTGGAAGGTTTCTGTCCATTTTCATGCCAATTCTCTATAATTATCATCAAGTGCATATCCTGAGACACTACTGTCACTACTGAAATCTCTAAGTACAAAGTTTATTATTATTATTATTTTGCCTATGAAAAGGTTGCCTCAGGTAATATATAATCAGAGGATCCTGTGAAATTGTTCAGCTCCACTATTATTATCTCTATATATCTTGTTCTGTAATAGTAGTACTGTAGATGATATTACTGTAGATGACAAATCTTGACAGCATCTTAAAAAGCAGAGACATCACCTTGCCAACAAAAGTCCGAATAGTCAAAGCTATGGTTTTTCCTGTCGTGATGTATGGAAGTGAGAGCTGGACCATAAAGAAAGCAGACCGCCGAAGAATTGATGCCTTTGAATTGTGGTGCGGGAGGAGGCTCTTGAGAGTCCCCTGGACTGCAAGGAGAACAAACCTATCAGTTCTAAAGGAAATCAACCCTGAGTGCTCACTGGAAGGACAGATCCTGAAGCTGAGGCTCCAGTACTTTGGCCATCTAATGAGAAGAAAAGACTCCCTGGAAAAGACCCTGAGGTTAGGAAAGTGTGAAGACAAGAGGAGAAGGGGATGACAGAGGGCGAGATGGCTGGACAGTGTCTGCGAAGCAACCAACATGAACCTGACACAACTCCGGGAGGCAGTAGAAGATAGGAGGGCCTGGCGTGCTCTGGTCCATGGGGTCACGAAGAGTCGGACACGACTAAACGACGAAACGAAGATATTTGGAGGCCAGGCTTAACTGCTTCACTCTCTATGAGATCCTCTCAGCTGGGAGGCTCATGCCGGCTGTTTTGGGACATTAGTCCTGATGGTCGTCTCCATGCATTTCTTGAACATAAAGTATATTGCAGTCATGTGTTTGGCAGAGCTGATGAAGTAGCTCTTGACAAACCTTCTGCGTTAGTAGAGATTCACAGCTCGCTTTGGCCCTGACAAAGAGTCCTTTCATTTCTGATGGCCCCTTGTGGGCCATTATTGCCAAAGTCTTACAGTCATTCCTCCGGTGGGACTTCCGGACTGGAAGGCTCAGCCAGCAGGATTCGACCGTTGCTCGGGAGACAGCGGAATGTTTCCGCTGCTCCTCTTCGGAGCCCCGGTCTTTTAAATGGGCCAAACTCTCCGGGAGCCGAAAGAAGGCGACCGACCTCACTCAGCAGAGGAGTTCCCGGGGCTTTCTTAGCCAATGAGCAGCCGGCAGGGGGGCGTGGCTTGCGGGGGCCAGGGGAGGAGGCGGCGATTTGCTCCGGGTTTGCCGGCGGGGGAGGGGCCGGGCGATTGTCGCGCGGGGCGCGCCGGGCATGGAAGGAGGAGGAGGAGGAGAAGAAGGAGCCTCGTCCCGGCCGAGCCAGAGGAGTCCTTCTGCGTCTGTCCCCCTCCCTGATCGGGGGTAGGCGGGGTGGTGGGCCAGGCGAGGGTCACCCCGGGCCTCGACGAGGCGCTTCCGTCCCTAGATCGGTGTGTGTGTGCGTGTGTGTGTCTCTCTGCCTGTCTCCTCCCCCTCGCTCTGGTAAGCCGGTAGGTATAAGCCCCTTTGGCTGGCAGGCAGGCAGGCAGGCAAGCACAAAGCATCTTCCCTCCCTGGAGGGGCAAGTGGGGGC